CACCGGTACCAACAGTGTTGCTTCCGTTGTTCACATCGTTATTTCCATGTGATGCCATTGAGCCGGAACAAGCAACAAATAATTTAGAATAATTATAAGTTTGTAAAGTTGTATATAAATTCAAGATCAAGTTATCTGTTCAGAAAATAAAATTGCAGAGTTGAAGAACAGATTATTTTGTCAAATTATTAACAACTTAACAATAATTTAAAATGAATTAGAAATCATGCAAAAACCATGAACTGGAAAAATTGACAAAAACTAATGAACAAAATTTGATTTACTAAAACCAATTCGATTTAAGCTTGTAGGTAAATATTAGAGAATCAAATCAAACCGAAGGCCTGTGTATTAATAGTTTCCCTAAATCGAATTCGCCGCCTCACCGAAGTGCAAGAGGTTTTAATCGGTGTTCGATTCCCAGGATACAATCGGTTGTCGATTCACGCTGCACTACGTTAACCGCCTGCGAACTAGTTGTGATATACTCTATCTCACAAAGAAATTATGAGCACAAGGAAGAACTTGAAAGTGAGAAAAAAAAAAGATTGTTACTTAGAGGAAAAAGCTTGCATTTCACTTGTTATTTTCCAATCTAAAGAGACTCCTATTTATACCAATGGAGGAAAAATTAGCTCATTAATCAATGAGTTAAACCATTCATTGATAAAGGAGTTAAAAACATGAAGGGACTTGAGTTACTTAAGTTACAATTTACCCTCGGGAATACCCTTGAGTCCCTTTCATTAGTTTTTGTTCGTGTCTTGTTTACTTTGATTGCATTTTATCTTCAAATATTTGTTACAATTTACATTTGCTGGAGGTCAGGTCCATGCCCCCCTCCTCTATTTGTTTTCCCGCTTTTCATTATATAAAATAAACCACACTAGTGGTATTTGCTTTAAAAAAAAAAAAAAGTTACAACATATGAAGAGACTTCTATTCAATATTTTTCATTTAATTCTAACACATTGTTGATGCCGTAAAAATTGCATTGTTCTAAAAAACTCGTCTAAGGTGTGAAGTTTGGTCTTGCAAACAATCAAATGTAACACTTTTTTATGCATAAGCTTGTAAAAGTTTGGACTTGATCTTGTTGCATGGTCAGGATTTAAGCCTTTTTTAATACAAAAAATAAAAAATGAATTGAATCACGAGGCTTCCGAATCTAAAGGAAAGGATGATCTTAAAATTTGGACATGAGTTGAGCTCAGAGTCGACTCAATTCGATCCATTGCCACCCGTAAAAGGCCATATCATGAAAGCTCATCAATGGAGCCAATGACCCTTTCAATTAATTTTTTTTTTCCAAAAAAGAAAATGTGATCTACTTGGGTGAGCAGCATAATATTGGAATTGTGGCCAAATTCCAGTCCTGTTTGGTTAAGTTAAAAAATTGAGTTAAAATTTTATGTCAAAATTATATTAATTTTAACTACACAAAATTCAATTTTTTTAACCACAAATTCCATCAATTTTTAACAAAATATATTAAAATTTGATTTTTCATCTTTAACCATACAGGTGCCTAGAGTATGATTCAAGTGGCTTTTAGATGAAAACTAATTTTTAATTCGATTCCGTTTTTATACTAGGCTAGAAAGAAGTAAAAATTAAAAATTAAGTCAATCATATGTGATTTTTTCACAATTACTCTATTTTTTATCCGTATGTCTAGAGATAATTAAATCTTGACCGTATCATATTTGTTGGAAATGGTTTTAATTAGTGAATTGGGTCAATTTTGAGCTCCAATTTTAGTGGAATTCGTACTTTGATTTTAACGGGACCAAACATATTCATGGTCTACTCCGCAAAAAGATTAATGTGATATATTTATTTATTGAAAACCATTTAGAATCAAATGAAATATTTGATGTCAAATTAACCCACTTGAAACTATAAACTAATGAAGAATTTCATTTATTGGAAATTTCTAAACATTTGTTCCACATAGGACAGTTAGAAAACTTTGATATGATTTATATAGTAGAAGTTTGGCCATTGGATTTTGCCCGCAATGAGTACCAATGTTTTTGGAATGGGTGACCTTTATCCTATTGGGTTTAATCATAAATCCATACGTGCCCACCCATGTAGGTACCAAAAGTGTTTGAAAGGGGAGACCTATATCCTATTAGGTTCAATCCTAAATCTACACGTGCCTGCCCATGTGGATACCAATAGTGTTTGGAAGGGAGATGGGTACCAATAATCTTTGGAAGGGAAGACCTATATTCTATTGGATTCGGTCATAAACACACATGTGCCCGTCGATGTGGGTACCAATAGTATTCGAAAGAGGGAAACCTATATTCTATTGGATTCGATCATAAACCCACACGTGCCCTCCCATGTGGGTACTCATAGTGTTTGGAAAGGGGAGATGTATATTCTATTAGATTCGATCCTAAACTCACACGTGCCGGCCCATGTGGATGCCAATAGTGTTTGGACGGGAGAGACATATATCCTATTAGGTTCGATCCTAAACCTGCCCGTGCCCATGTTCAAGTCTGGTTCTGATTTTGGTTCATGTTTAGGTGAGAGTGGGTCAAGCACATAATCAGCAAATAAAAAGGACTACACATTAGTCGAAGCAAGTCAAATGCTTCAGCCCATCTTGTGCCTCCTCCGGTGCGATGCACATCTTAATGTAACGTCATTGCCACCATGGTAGGCGCGCGATGATCACCCATCCAAGGTATACGAGTGACAATCAAAATTTGACAACCGCCATCAAGTTAAGAGGGAGAAAATATTCTACGACAATATCTAATAACAAGCATTGTATGTAGGGGAGTGCATTTTAACTGAAATCGAACATTCCCAACCGAAATCAAATTGAAATCAAAGGTATCGATACCAAAAGAATAAATTAGAAATTGAAATAGAGAATCAATCAGGTCAAGGTCGATTCTTGATTTTTAAGTTGGAACTGTGGATATTCGACTCTAAAGCTTAATTTATCCATTTTTATGAGTTTTTATTTTATACAATTTATTCAACTTGACCCCAATGACCTGGCCAATAAATATCAAGTTTGCACTGCTCAACCAATAGTAAATTTGTAAGAACTAAGTACTAAGTATCCTAATAAATGATATAAAATCATTCATATGAATAATTGACATATTACTTTCATTTTGATCTTGATCGCACTTTACACGTTATTTGCCCCACAAATTCTTCTTGAGGTGCCACATGCAGAGTCACAAATGGAATTAGATGCTATTATGCAATATCTTAGATGTTAATTGGTGGCATATTTGCAACAAATTAAGAAAGTGTTCAATATGTATTTTGTGGAATGTTTTATTTCTTCTATTTCCACTAGATAATGAGAAAATTATATGTATTATAAACTTACGATTTTTTAACAAAAATATTATGGGTAGAACCAAACTCGAACTAAAATCGACGGTTCGAGTTCAAGTTCCAATTTCGTTCCAATAATTACGTAGAATGAAATTGTTCTATTTACAAATTATCAGAAGTGTAATGAGTTGTTTTGAGTATTGAAATATATGGATCGACCCACTCTAGAGAAGTGATATTGATGGATCAACCACTTAACTAACTGCAGACAAGTGGAAACCCATGGAATTGAGAACCCTCATGAATCCTTCCAGAACTTTGTAAATATGTCTTCCTCAACCAAATTCTATATCTTGCTTTGATCATTGAAGTTGCTGATGGCCAAAAATAGACGTAGCAGATTTATATCAACTTAAAGGAAGTTTAATATCGTGATCGCTCGAAATTGAATCAAAATATAAAGTAATTGCATTAAAGAAAACTCTCAGAGAATGTTGCTTTTTTGAATGCCATAGGTTTGTCTTAGGAGGGGATCATTTGTCCCCATTTATAGGTTGAAAGTTCATGACACTTGCCCGTCCAGCATCATCTCAGCTACAGTATCAACCTAAAAATGGGTCACCATCCAAAATCTTGGTTTCCTAATTGGTTGCTAAGATCGGCCAAGCAGATGACGTCTAGGCCACAGCTATGACATCTAGTAATGACAATTTGATATTGGTTAATCACGACTTGCTTGTAATTGGTTGAAAACTATGTGCTGACATATAGCCATCACATGTTAATTTGGGAGTGATTGATGATTAGGTGCAAACAATGTGTAACTAATTATGAATCATGATGCACAATAAGTTACAGCGGTCACTATTCCAGTTGGCCTCACCATCTAGCGTCTGACCTTGTATTAGTACAAGATTTGTATTTTTATCTATTTATTTAATGAAAGATGCTACATGTACATCACATTGTACATAACGATATCTATAATGGACACCGGGAGCCTCGGCATTGGCTGAGACGCCTGCCATACAAGGGCCCACAAGCACCTCGACCAATGCCGAGGTGCCGAATTCCATTATGGACACCCTTATGTACAATGTAATGTACAACAAGATTTATCCTTATTTAATAAGGTGTGAGGTCGGAGTCCAACAAATTTATAAACAGTTGTTGCACCACCTCATGGAGTAGCAGTCTTACATTCTAATGAGTTGTCTTAGAGTGCAAGTTATTCAGGGCTTGTTTGGGAGAAATTTTGAAAATTTATTTTTTGATCGTTAGGAGAAAAGTAGAGGTCACATGTGAGATAAAAAAATCAAATTTTACAGCTAGAATAGTGAAATAACGGTTAAAAAATTAATTTTTTAAGGTGAAAAATCACTCCCAAATACCTCCTAAAAGTAGACAATGGTGTTTCAATGTCGGTTGACAAAAGAGTTGGCCAACGTGGTCAAACTCAAATCAAGAGCAAGACTATCACATAATAAGATTTACACAAGTATAATTTTGTAAACCCACAAATTTTTTGACCGAAGACCAAATTAGTTGAACTAAAGTGAAAGCCGAGAGAAGTTGTAAAATCCACATTATGAGGTAGGAAAAGCATTCCCTACAAATTCCAAACATGCTCAGTAAATAGATCAAGAAAAATTATCAATTTAAACCAAGTAACAAAACTAATATATCCATTGTATGGTGCCTTGAACATTACATTGCATAAATATAATACCATTTGAAGCTGCAGACTTGATAGTACAATTATTATTTTAATGCTTATAAGTTAAAAAAGCTTGACAAACGGACAAAAAAAAAAGAGAGACAAATTTAGGCACATTTAAAAACAAGTGCCAATTTCCAAGACCACAAATCATTTCTCCATGGGTTGATCTCCACAATTGGACTCTCCCATAAGTGATTCTCAATAGGCAGAAGCACTACTCCTGAATGATCCTAGAGCTTTAACTGCACCTGCTCTAAGAATGTACTGATGGTACAATGCAGCAATGGCTGCCCCAATGAAAGGTCCAGCCCAGAAGATCCACTGTCAAAAATCGATCAAAAGGGTCAGTCAGCAGCCGTACTCGACAACACTTAACAATAAAATAAACAAATTTTTAAATAATGTTCAATACTTGATCGTCCCAGGCCTTATCCTTGCCATAGATCACTGCAGCTCCAAAACTTCGGGCAGGGTTGATACCAGTGCCGGTGATCGGAATTGTAGCCAAATGAACCATGAACACAGCAAATCCAATAGGCAGTGGTGCCAATACCTTTAGATTAATTTTCAAGTAGGATTAATCAACAGTCAAAATTGATTGAAGAAAATCTTGACTTGCTAAAATTATGGAGTTTGTTTGGCTAAAAACTTAAGCACGGATATTACCGGAACATGGGAGTCTCTGGCACTTCTTTTAGGGTCCGTGGCGGAGAAGACAGTGTAAACAAGCACAAAAGTGCCGATAATCTCGGCCGCCAATCCGGTGCCTGTGCTATATCCATCTCCAAGTTCATTGGCGCCACCACCGTATCTAACGTAGTAAGCCCTCTGGAATGCCTTCACCAATCCACACCCACAAATGGCCCCTACACACTGAGCCACCATGTACATAATGGCCCGAATCAATGAAACTTTTCGGGCTAAAAACAACCCGAATGTCACTGCCGGGTTAATGTGCCCTCCTGCACCATTAACGTCGTAAATATCATCACAAAGAAAGAGGAATCTGTGTTAAAACTTTGTCAATTTTATGATTTGAATCATATTTAAGATGTGCAACTCACCGGAAATACCAGCAGTGCAGTAAACAAGTACGAAAATCATGCCACCAAAGGCCCAAGCAATGCCCAAAATGCCAACGCCGCCGCATTCATCGGTGGCGCTCTGGCTCTTGTACCCAATCACAGTCAAAACAGTAATGTATAAGAACAGTAATGTAGCTACGAATTCAGCAATGATAGCTCTATAAAATGACCATTTAGTCAGTTCTTCCGGATCAATCAACGGTGCTGGAGGAGGGTCTTGATAGTCTTTTGTAATAAATTCAGGGCCTCCGACCTCAACATCCTTCACCATTTTCCCTTTTAAGCCCTAAAACACACTGAATTTACTGAGATTGTAAGAATAAATTGTGTATTTTCCTAATGGGAGAGTTGGGGGTATTTATATGGAGAATGTAGAAAGAAATAATTAATTAAATACACAATTTGCCGCCCCATTTCAGTAATATTTTTCACATTTTTAGTTCTCATGATTTGAGTGACCCCGACAATCACTGCACGACTCTAAATTTCTGGATGTGATGTCTTGTCAATGACTATTTTGGGAGGACATTTTTGTTGCCACGCGTGCTTCATTTATTGAGTTCTGCTTCTGAGCCAGGCTCAGAAACAGGGTAAAAAACAGGGGGCTGAGGTGGCATCACCTCAGCCCCTAGATCCCATACATTTTTTTCTCCCCAGATCCGACGGTCAAGGTGGAAACAGTTTGGCACCCTGTTTTTTGGCCTGGACAAGAGGCATTTTCGTCATTTATTCATTCAGTCGACGAAAAAAATTGTATCATGTCTAAGCACATAACTTGACCAATTGATAAAGATGTTATTAATTGTTTGGTTTTTTCCCCTCTTTATTCCAAATAAGTTTTTGATACATAGAGATTCATCAATATAGGCTAATCACTTTGAAATTCAAACACCAATAATTTCCACGCGAGACAAGAAATTCAATTCAAACTTTTGTATGTCATCAATTTATCGTCTAAAAACTTTGATGACAAGATTAATATATTCATTTTGGAGTTATCAAAATGTATAAAGCTTCTTGATCTAGTACATTATAAACATGATCAAAGTCTGGGTTAACCCTTAGGTTGACATACCTCTATAATAAGGTAATGTTGATTCAATAGTAGAGACTTGCAACTCGTGTAGCACTAAAACTAGATGATAATTTATGTAAAAATAGAAAAGTGTATGAGCTCATAGATTAGGCATGAACATGTCTACTTGAGACAATTTAAGAGCAGTGTTGAGCTAAACGTTCTGAGATAAGCAACCTCAAAATTGGATCGTGTCGATTTAAATTAAGTGGACATTTATGTGTTTATTATTATGATCTAAATAGATGGTCAAATTTTAGAAAGGCTCACAAGTCACAAAACTATTATCGGTTATTCTTTGTCCTTGATTGACAAAGTTTTTTGAGATTATAAGTTATTCAAAATTTATTTTAATCACATATCTTATTAGATTTCTAATTTTTATCCATCTTTTATTACACGTTTTATGATATTCACCCGTTTATAATCTCAAAAGGATTTTTTTCTTTCTATGTGAGACTAACAAAATGAGATTGGTTAATTTTTTTTTTTTAATGATTTATAAAATAGATTAAGCCCATGTTTCACAGTCATTGTTTGGGGGAAAAAAAAAAGAGTTTTTGAACAGTAAATTTTTTGAGAATGTGCAGTAAAAGTAGGAAAAAAATTAAATTTACGTGAAAAATATTTTATTATGAGAATGTAATTAAAAATGAATATGAGAAAACAAAAGAACTATGCAAGGATGATTATCAAATATGGGCTAATTGTTTCTTTACTTCAGTTAGTCTCATCTTTGTGTATGTCAAGAAAAGGCTCGTGTTGAATATTTTGTTCATTGAGTCTTACGAGAGACTATATATTTGTACGGTACTATGGAATAACCATTTAAAAAGGTTGAATTCCAATCTTGAAGGTCACACGAGCCCATCCCTAACTCTTTATAAAATATAGGCATGGACGTCAAATCAGGGTGGCGGACCGACGATCAAATTATTAGACTTGAAATCACTATCACCACCACCGTCCATTACAATTCCGCCCACAATTTAGGCCACTCATTTCTTGCCATGTTCACATTTGTCATAACCCGTCTCCATCCGTGACTCAAAATCTCAAATGATCTATTGGAATAATTGTAACGACTCCTGGTTATCGTATTGCCACGTGTCGGATGCAAGACAGTCAAAGTGGAAATGCTAAGGTCTCTTGGTCGGTTGTCAGAACCCACGCATCGCTTTCATTTTCAACAATATATTTTAAAATATTTTGTACATGAGACTAAAATTTTTTCGTAGTTTTTATTACGATCTCTAAAAAATCACTATTTAAAATATCATAGTCTCTAATTTTTTTTTTGAATTATGCTACTTATACATAAAAATGACACATAAAAAATTCTATAAAATCTTGTAGATAGAAAAGATTGGATAAAAAAGTTGACTATATTTTAAATTGACAAATAACAAAGTGACATTTGACATTACGTAACTCATTATGTAAAATTTAATTTACATGTAACAAGGTCCTTTATCTTCATAATGATCATCAAACATGGGGTACTTCTAATTCGCACCCAATAAGCCTTACACTTAAGCCGTTTAACTCGATCCTTCCACTAAATATTTATGGCACAATTTGATGCACGTTTTGTATCAAGTTGATTAGATCAATTGGACTTGTAGTAGTATATCATATTGTCTGGAGTCCTGGGAGCTTCTGGGTCTTGTTTGGCAACGTATTGGACCATTATTAATTTATTTCTTCGCTTGTCTTCATTTCACAGTAGATACTGCATGATTTTTTTAGTAATTAAAGTTACATATAAAATTACATTTATGTAGTTATTTTGACGCGAAAGATGAATAATTTTATAAAGGTTTCAGCAATTTTGACTGAACCTGGCTTTTAGCTTAATAAATCTCTGTTCTCTTAGTCCCTGTCTAGTTTTGATAAAAATAAATTTTAAATAAAAGTTAATTAAATATATGATTGAAAAGTTCATAAAAGTTGAATATCATGAAATATGTTATTGATTACTAATTTGAGAATTTTTTTTTAAAATATGGACCAGTTAGTTTGTATAATGAATAAGTGCTATCAGATTAAGATGGTAAAAGAATTTGATTTGATGGTTTTATAATAACAATAATTGCGTTCACAATGGTTCGCCGTTCATTTTTCTTCTTATTATTGGACATATTGTATGTCACTTTTCTCGGTCAGTTTGTTTTTGTCGACATGATTCATTGGAAAGTGTTGATTTACATGAAAAATAGAAAAAATAAAATAAAAAATACTACTATTTAGTACATGTTAAAACAACAGTTTATGTGCCATTAATATGGCTCTAAATAAGAGGTAAAAAAAGATTAACGACTTAAATTTACCTTCCATTGAACACATCACTTAACGTCACATAAACTAATATCGTGATAAAAGGGGAGGGTGGAGAAATCCAACTTTGCTTGAGACTGATGTATCAAGGGTTCGAATCCTGAAATATGGATTTGGCTCTTGGGTAAGTGTAAGTGTACAAGCAGCCTTCCACCCTATACCCTTGGAGGCATAACCTGCGATTTACCTCCCTCACGATACTCCAGGGCAGGGGCGGTGGGGGATCTTTAAGGTTGGGCGAATTGGAGTTGACACATTGGCGTCTACTGTAGAGATATTACATCCATCATTCATAAGATTTTATTTTAGACACATCCTTGCCCGAAAGATCCATATTTTGGGCCGAAGCTTCTAAGCGTTGCAGCTCTGAATTTGTTTGCACCACTTTAGATGAAAGCTATCCACCTTGGATTTTGCATCACTCGTGTTGACGTTGAGCGCTTCGGAGCATTGGAGTGTAGCCGTGTGTGATGATTTAACTAAAGATTTGCTTGTAATTTGATTTGTTAACCAAAGCCTCTTTATTGATTATGAGATTAATTGCACCCTTGATTGCAAAAGCTACTTAATTTTTTTTCATGGCAATCTCAATCCGACTCCTAAAATATTCCACCTTCTTCGCCATCAAACAAGTAGACGACCGACGAAATTGGCTGTGGGGGAAAGGTTAGTTTGAAAGAGTTTCGGTTGGTTGTATTCAAATTGACTTTTTCTTTTTCTTTTTTTCTTTTCCATTCTTTCAGAATGATATAAGATCAAAAGGATTTTAACACGAACTTTAGGGGTGGGGAGAGAAAAATTTTCAAGTGAATTCTTGCTAGATACTGAAAGATGACTTGATTGAATTGCTTCTATAGGGCCAGAAAATAGTGGAAACTTTTCGGTAGATGAGCACAGGAAAAACATTATAATTAATGAGCCGTGCTATGTGTACACGGGCAGTTGACACGCCCGTGCACACTCCTCTCAGATGAGAGGACTACGAATAGCAAATTTCATAATTAATTGAAGACTTGAAGTTTTGAGGATGAACAAAAATGTTTAGCTTATGGACAAATGTGGGGTGGATTGTACTTGATTAAGTTTAAATGACGTGATCCACATCAATATATAATATACCTATTTTTATTTATATTTTGGTTTCCATCTTAAGTTAATTAGATGTGTTTCCATCTTAAGTTAATTAGATGTAGATACGGTTCATATCAATGAATTGGGCAGGTGACAAAGATTAATGGATGTTGTTGGGAGTAATTGTTCCACCTGAGAAAAAAAAAAAAAAAAAAAAAAAAAAAAAGAAACACGAATTTAAATATTTTTAATATTCATTTGTCACACACGAATTTGAATATTTTTAATATTCATTTGTCATTTTGAATGCTTATTGGCTATAATAGAAAATGTCGTACTGATAACATTTCTATTTAGTGCAAGTCTATACATAGGACACATGGAAAAATGATTGACGAAGAAAAGAATCGTACAAATACAATCATTTTTCGCCATTTCAATGGATTTTAGGCCATCTCCAACCACAACACCATTGCACCATTTTGCACCATTTTTTGGTGCAAAATTGCTCCAACCCAACACCAAACTTTACACCATTTTGGTGCAAAATGGTGCAAGTGTAAAATGCCAATTTTGCCCTTATTTTACATTTCCTAAATAAATTTGTTGAGGGTATTTATGTAATTTGTGCTATATATTTTTTAATACAATAAATTATTATTATTTTTATTAATATTAATAATTATTTGTGTTTAAAATAAATTTTAAATGTAAGACATAATAATTAATTAATTAATTAAAAGACGAAAATAATTTAAAATACATCAAACACGATTAATTATTTATTTATTTAGTAATTTATGTATTTCTGAAATAATTAAATAAATAATATTTCAAATAAGTATATTATAAAGAATAAAAAAAGGG